CTCTCCCTCTCCCTCTCCCTCTCCCTCTCCCTCTCCCTCTCCCTCTCCCTCTCCCTCTCCCTCTCCCTCTCCCTCTCCCTCTCCCTCTCCCTCTCCCTCTCCCTCTCCCTCTCCCTCTCCCTCTCCCTCTCCCTCTCCCTCTCCCTCTCCCTCTCCCTCTCCCTCTCCCTCTCCCTCTCCCTCTCCCTCTCCCTCTCCCTCTCCCTCTCCCTCTCCCTCTCCCTCTCCCTCTCCCTCTCCCTCTCCCTCTCCCTCTCCCTCTCCCTCTCCCTCTCCCTCTCCCTCTCCCTCTCCCTCTCCCTCTCCCTCTCCCTCTCCCTCTCCCTCTCCCTCTCCCTCTCCCTCTCCCTCTCCCTCTCCCTCTCCCTCTCCCTCTCCCTCTCCCTCTCCCTCTCCCTCTCCCTCTCCCTCTCCCTCTCCCTCTCCCTCTCCCTCTCCCTCTCCCTCTCCCTCTCCCTCTCCCTCTCCCTCTCCCTCTCCCTCTCCCTCTCCCTCTCCCTCTCCCTCTCCCTCTCCCTCTCCCTCTCCCTCTCCCTCTCCCTCTCCCTCTCCCTCTCCCTCTCCCTCTCCCTCTCCCTCTCCCTCTCCCTCTCCCTCTCCCTCTCCCTCTCCCTCTCCCTCTCCCTCTCCCTCTCCCTCTCCCTCTCCCTCTCCCTCTCCCTCTCCCTCTCCCTCTCCCTCTCCCTCTCCCTCTCCCTCTCCCTCTCCCTCTCCCTCTCCCTCTCCCTCTCCCTCTCCCTCTCCCTCTCCCTCTCCCTCTCCCTCTCCCTCTCCCTCTCCCTCTCCCTCTCCCTCTCCCTCTCCCTCTCCCTCTCCCTCTCCCTCTCCCTCTCCCTCTCCCTCTCCCTCTCCCTCTCCCTCTCCCTCTCCCTCTCCCTCTCCCTCTCCCTCTCCCTCTCCCTCTCCCTCTCCCTCTCCCTCTCCCTCTCCCTCTCCCTCTCCCTCTCCCTCTCCCTCTCCCTCTCCCTCTCCCTCTCCCTCTCCCTCTCCCTCTCCCTCTCCCTCTCCCTCTCCCTCTCCCTCTCCCTCTCCCTCTCCCTCTCCCTCTCCCTCTCCCTCTCCCTCTCCCTCTCCCTCTCCCTCTCCCTCTCCCTCTCCCTCTCCCTCTCCCTCTCCCTCTCCCTCTCCCTCTCCCTCTCCCTCTCCCTCTCCCTCTCCCTCTCCCTCTCCCTCTCCCTCTCCCTCTCCCTCTCCCTCTCCCTCTCCCTCTCCCTCTCCCTCTCCCTCTCCCTCTCCCTCTCCCTCTCCCTCTCCCTCTCCCTCTCCCTCTCCCTCTCCCTCTCCCTCTCCCTCTCCCTCTCCCTCTCCCTCTCCCTCTCCCTCTCCCTCTCCCTCTCCCTCTCCCTCTCCCTCTCCCTCTCCCTCTCCCTCTCCCTCTCCCTCTCCCTCTCCCTCTCCCTCTCCCTCTCCCTCTCCCTCTCCCTCTCCCTCTCCCTCTCCCTCTCCCTCTCCCTCTCCCTCTCCCTCTCCCTCTCCCTCTCCCTCTCCCTCTCCCTCTCCCTCTCCCTCTCCCTCTCCCTCTCCCTCTCCCTCTCCCTCTCCCTCTCCCTCTCCCTCTCCCTCTCCCTCTCCCTCTCCCTCTCCCTCTCCCTCTCCCTCTCCCTCTCCCTCTCCCTCTCCCTCTCCCTCTCCCTCTCCCTCTCCCTCTCCCTCTCCCTCTCCCTCTCCCTCTCCCTCTCCCTCTCCCTCTCCCTCTCCCTCTCCCTCTCCCTCTCCCTCTCCCTCTCCCTCTCCCTCTCCCTCTCCCTCTCCCTCTCCCTCTCCCTCTCCCTCTCCCTCTCCCTCTCCCTCTCCCTCTCCCTCTCCCTCTCCCTCTCCCTCTCCCTCTCCCTCTTCCCTCTCCTTCTCCCTCTTCCCTCTTCCTTTCCCTCTACCCTCTCCCTCTCCCTCTACCCTCTCCCTATATTATTATTATTATTATTATTATTATTATTATTATTATTATTATTATTATTATTATTATTATTATTATTATTATTATTATTATTATTATTATTATTATTATTATTATTATTATTATTATTATTATTATTATTATTATTATTATTATTATTATTATTATTATTATTATTATTATTATTATTATTATTATTATTATTATTATTATTATTATTATTATTATTATTATTATTATTATTATTATTATTATTATTATTATTATTATTATTATTATTATTATTATTATTATTATTATTATTATTATTATTATTATTATTATTATTATTATTATTATTATTATTATTATTATTATTATTATTATTATTATTATTATTATTATTATTATTATTATTATTATTATTATTATTATTATTATTATTATTATTATTATTATTATTATTATTATTATTATTATTATTATTATTATTATTATTATTATTATTATTATTATTATTATTATTATTATTATTATTATTGTTATTATTATTTACCAGTTATAGATGAACTCGTCATTTTCGGTGTAGACAGGAAATGTCAGATAAAAAGTGTGAAGAACATAAATTTATTAATTCCATATACTGTGCACAACAAAGTCATTATCATACACTCCTATAACTTAGTTTAATATTTTGCCCCCAAGGCATGCATAACTTCTAATCTTCACAATAACTTTAGAGCTTGCAAACATTCTAATTTCAACTCAGTTTGTGCATATTCATTATGTTCTAAGCTTTTTCAAGCATACTGCAATAATTGCCATGGTAACTGGGACTTATTATCTTGAGCAGGTGTGGTCCTGGGTAAAAAACTGCCCAAATCTATTTTGTCAGTACTAACAATTTTTGATATAATAGCTTTAGTCCGGAAATAAACTGTACGTCAATACATTTTCCTTATAGCAGGTTCTATAGTAGGAGAGTCAGCATAGTATCATTCAATGGATATGCTGTTATGAGTAATATGTCATAAATATAAACTAGGCTTCCATGTTTATATTTACCTGGGACAGGCAACCTAATGTGCACTTTGTTTAACCCACTGGATCCATGTGCTTTGCGAGTCATTCCTATCACACTGGCCTTTAGTCAAAATTCTCATAAGGCCTGGTTTTTCCATGACGGCATGTTCACATCACCAGGCCCTCAAACCAAGCTTTTCTTTACCTCTATACGTGGGGTTAATCTTGCTATAGAGCATGGCTCCTTATTAAATGGTGAATTGCTAGACCTCCAAGCTAGTAATCCAATTTGACCCCTTTTATTCAGGGACTTCACTGCTCGCACATGGCCCAAATTCTGGTCATAAGGCTTACTTGGCTTGTAGGCCTGGTTCACTCAAACTGCCATGTGCGGTGACAAGACTCCATGCCTCCCCTTTGCAATTTATCTCTTTTCTGTAAGTGTTTTTGCTTTTTTGCCATTTTCTAATGTCTATCATTTCATCTGCTGTATCCAGACTATTTTCCTTGTGCAGACTCTACATCATCTCTCCAAGGATTTCATTACTCAGTGCAATAATAATAAAAACAACTAATATTTTATTTCTCTCTCTCTCTCTCTCTCTCTCTCTCTCTCTCTCTCTCTCTCTCTCCCTCTCCCTCTCCCTCTCCCTCTCCCTCTCCCTCTCCCTCCCTCCCCCCTCCCCCCTCCCCCCCCCTTCCTAGTAAATATTCAATTTCCTTTAATCCAACCTGTGCCGCCAGTCACAACCTGCAGGAGTAGGATCCTGAGCAAGTAAATAGCATCCTCCCCAGAGCCAACGCTCTTCCAGTCATGGATAATGGATGGTACATTCTACACTTGTTTATCAATGGAAATAACTCCTTCCTAAATTTCTGCTAAATCTAATCCCAAGAGGTTTGTGCACTCATGGGAAGTCATTCCCATCACCCCAGCCTTCAGCTGATATTCTCATGACAGCAAGTTCCTGTCACTCCAGGCCTCTACCAAATTTTTCCATGATGGCATGTTCACGTCGCTCACTCTTCAAGTCAATTTTTTTCATGACTTGGTCACATTATCTGGGTCATTGGGGTTAAAGGCTGGTGGTCACCCATGTATTGTGTGCACAAAGATGATCTGGCAAAGTGAAGCTCCCACTTACTGCTAATATGTATACAGGTGTCATCATATCTGAAGACCAGAATTTAGCATCCTTTTAGAGAGAGGGAGAGAACTGGGGATAGCTATTCATTAAAAAAAAAAAAAAGTGATACAATACAACATTAATGATTAATTTATTACTAACTATTATTTGAAATGATGTTGACAAGCTTCCTCTATACAATGTCAGTTTGTGTACGTGTGTGTGGGTCGGTGGGTGGGTGTATTTGTTTTCATCTGTTATATTTTCTATTTAAACTGAGTGCAGAAAAAATACCCATGAAAGTGTTCTCTGGTAGTAACAGAAAGTTCTTTTAACCTTTCTAGTGGGCAATAGGTTTTTGCAACCCATCTCTTGTGTACACATTTGTATATAGGTGTATGTTTATTACAGGGGTTGGTACAACAGCTTAAATTTTTCTATAAGCATACCATGAGAAAGTCGTACAGTAATTAGTGTACAAATAAACAAAAACAAATGGTAAGATATATATGTACAAATGGAAATGGAAAAGTGCAAGAACCAAATCCATCTTATATTTCTTGCAGAAATATGGGCACCAGTGGAAAATATAGCAAGGTAATATCATGTGCTGGAAGTTGTTGAATGTTGGTAATGGGTTTAAACTACTCAAGCATGCAAGATAAGTCATTTGTACCATAATGCCTTAACATTTGTATGTATGTATTTGTTTGTGTGTATGTGCATGTATGTATATATGTAATATGCAGTTTGCAGATTTTAAAAAATGTTTTCAGTGAAATTGCGTGTATTTTCAATCCCCTTGATGTTCATTGAGGTCTGTTAGGGCTTCTGTAAATGCTGAGAAGAGTTAAGAGCTGTAAACCAGGTATTGATTGTAGTAAACCTTTGAAGTGGTTACAATAATGAACCATAGAGTAAGGAAGTACTCTTGACTTCAAATAGCATCAGGCTTTGATAGCACAATGTATTTTCAGAATACAGTTACGGCAGTGGCGCTGGTGCTGGTAGCTATGGTAGTTATGGTGGTGCTCCTAATGCCGCCACACCTCCAGCCCCAGCATTCCCCCCACAACAGCCACACTACGGGGCATACTCTACCCCTCCTCCACAAGGCTTCTCGCAGGGACAAGCTCCTTACGCAGCACCCCCTTCATACAGTGCCCCACCTCCACAAGGTGAGGAAGAAGGGTTCTCGTCTTTTTCTTCCTTCCTTCCTTCCTATCTTTTTTCTCTTATTTTTACTTTTTCTTTGCTTTTGTTTTGTCATTACTAGTATAATTATATAGTGTTTCAGGTGGTGTCATGTCAGAGATAGCGATGAACCTCATTGCAAAATATTGAGCGATGGCTGCTGACAGAATAGCTATTTATTATGCAGTTAATACGGTCAGTTTATAGGTGTGTGTGCATTATTCACAAGTAGGCTCAGGAGAGAAAAGTCTGTTGGTGAAGCTGAAAACATTCCCAAGATGAGAATCTGTATATAGCATAAGAAGTATTGTGTGGGGGGGTAAATCAGGAGCCGTCTTTTGTAATTTGAATGAAACTACAGAGTAAATGAGATGTGCAAGATAACAGAAATGGGAGGAATGCCTGATGGAGTGCACTTGAAAAAATTAGAATAATCATTTATAAACTGGAGTGTTAGGTATCAGTATTAAAGTGTGATGAAAAATTTGATTCTCTGCACTGCAGCAGCTAATGTTCCTCTTTGTAGTAAACACTGGGTTCTATATGCTGATAGTTGAAATTATTTATGAAAATAACCACACAAGTTGTTCTTGTTGGGCTGACTGTTGCTAATAGCCTAATGAAATGAAGTATGAAGTAAGATGCTATGAAACAGTATATCTTGTAGCTCTCCAATGTTCATTTATGAACAAGTGCCCCTACTCCCCACTCTCCATGTGTCCTAATGATACCTTTGTGTTGTGTTCCCAAAATACATTTGAGGGAAGAAAAAAAAAAAATCCAGCAAACTATTTTCTGGACTATAGTGTATGACACTGTTAATGATTATTGTTACTGGAAAGAAAATGCACATAGCTTGGAATTGTTTTATCTTATGGTTGTTGGGAATGTTGAAGAGAGAGCCATTTGATCATATGCTGTTTCTCTTTAAGATTTTAGTTCTTTTAAATGGTGTAAAAGCTGTTGTAAAATTTCCTGTATTCAACCAACCTTTTTCTTCCATTTAAACTAAATTATATATTTTGTAAAAATGGGAATTCTCAAGTCTATAGTGTCCAAAGGTGAATATTTGGATGAGGATCTAGGTAGATGTCATTATTGCTGATCTTATAAAAGCTCGAAAATGGTTAAAGATGAGGAATGTTTAAGGGAGCTGAGGAATTGCCATAGTTTAATTGGTAAGTATTCCTTGAGTTATTTTTTTTACATCTTCCTTTCCCCTTTGTATTGATTGCAGTTAAGAAATGGGGAAGGATATAGATTGAAGTTAAGATACTTGTTACTGGTGATTGTCACTGATTAAGAGGAAAATGAATGTCACAAATAAAATTGATGAATGGTTGAGTAATGAATAGGTAATGAGAAGAGTGACTGAGGTTAAGCTACTACTACCAGGTGGGTACGGACATCCGCCGCCAACTCAGGCTCCAGTTCAGTCAGCACCAGGTGGTGGAGGGTACAGCAGTTATGAACAAAACAGTACCTACGGCTCTGGAAGCTATGGACAGACACCTGCAAGCACTGCATATGGTAGTCAGCCCAATGCTAACTTCTCAACTCCTCCTGCCCAAGGAAATTTTGGAGGACCACCGCCAACACAAGGAGGCTATGGTGGAGGCCCTCCATCTGGGGGAAGTTATGGTGGTCCACCATCTTCAAATGGAAATTATGGTGGGCAAGGTGGTGGATACAACAGTAAGTCTGACCTCCATTGTTTTTGTGTGTTTATTTTCCAGGAATTTGGCACTGACAAGACTGATATGACTTGACTTACTTTTGGACCAACCGTAGTAATTGTGTTTTAGATAATAACAGTGAGTTGACAAGAATCATGATAGGTAAATGGGACACAAGAAACATATGATTGTTGTCGCGATAGAATTTGACTTGAATTTTGACAAAGCTAGAGGTAATCTTACACAGGGATATATCTATGTTTATATGAGTGAGAAGGCATCATATCATTACATATCTTGTGTTTGTATTGTTCATTATTTGAGGATGAGATTCATATTGATAACCTCAATAACTGTGTGACCTAAGTGTCCATCCATGCAGCTGTAGTCTTTTCCTGAACCTGGGATTGGTTAGTGGTGCTGGGGGAGAGGTTGGCGTGCAGATTTCTCAGTGACCGAGATATGGTTGTGTCCCAAGGTCGTGGGCAAGTATACTGTGTGTACTAATGCAGACTGCTGAACTTTTCAAGGTGGTCTAGGCATGGCTCCTCCCCCCCTGTCAGCCCCTCCAGGCTGTGGTGGCATGTACGGGTCGCCGCTGAAGCAGTCCCCGGCTCCCATTCCTAGGTAAGTTTAACCAGCGCTAGACCACTTAGAGGGTGTTGATAGTGTGATAGTCTTGCTCACAGAGTTGAGAGATCTGAGGGTTTCAACATGTTGGTTGCAATGTGAAATCTTCCAAGGAAGAAACCTGGAGTGCCAATTTTATTGTACTTTGGCTTACATGGTGTGTATTTCAGCACAGAGTAATTTTTATGGATTGGTCATTAAGGGAAATTTCGAAAGTTACTACTTTTAGTGTGGTATACAGGTTTCAGTTTTTCATATTACTAGAATTTTATTTTTTGTTTGTTTATTTTTTTATTTATTTTTTCGAGTATTATAATCAAATACTTAATTGTATTCTTAGTTTTTCTGACAGGTTAATCGTATCCCTATGTAAGACATGGATCAGACGGGGAAATCAAGAGTTGGTATCTGTTTATTGTGTTGTATACATTCATCATTGGTGCATATGATATGAATGAAATGAATGTGTTGAAAGTACCTTCTTGATATGCAAAATCCGCCAAAAATTGTGTGAATGACATTGTAATGTAGGGCACAGTGATTCATACTTTCTTACATAGTTGATAACTGATCTTAGATTATTTTTGTGCAGTTTTCAAAAAAATGCAGTTTCTGAATAATTTAATATATAGGGGATTTTTATATAACAGTCACACAGAAATTTTCATTTAGAAATTTTGCTCATTATAATAAATAAATTATATGTAAGTTCTGGAGTTTTAGTGTGACATATGCTAAATAATAACCTGTGTGGTGGTGGTGGTGGTGATGGTGAGAGTAAGAGTGAGGCAGCTGATTGGCCAGAGGCAGAGTTTGCAGGAAGAAACCCAAGTAATCCTGTTGAGGACATCACCAACCTTCCCTTGATGTCTGTTCGCCTGTAAATCCAGCAGACTTATACCCGACTTTCAGCTCAAGAGTTTACTCTGCCAGGTGACAAGCAGGTCTTGATGCCATGTGGTTATCTCACATGTGTGTCCATGCCTTCTATTATGCCTTACAGTTAACATGACTCAAAAGTTGAATGAATGTATTAACCATGTATGCACTGGAATGCTTGTTACTCTGGAATCTATGCTACTTTTATTGACTGGACAATGACTGCCTGACTGTCTGACTGCCCTACTACAATTCAGCCACATCGTGCCAACAGAGCTGCTGATGTCAAAAGTTCTCCTTACAGACGAGATCAAGGGAGAGGTTATTACAAAGGTAACAGCACCATCAGGTGCTTGTGGTTTTTCTTCGGTTTTGCAAATGTAGACCACCTTCTTTTGAAAGACCTCACAGAAGGTGTTAAATATCCCCCTCCCCCTCCATTTTTTTCTTTTTTTCTTTTTTCTTTTTTCTTCCCCTCCCCTAAGTTTCCTAAAGTGAGAGCTTTACAAGAAGGATATACTCATGTCTCCTTCTGGACCCTTGCTTTAAGCTGAGTTGCATGACATTTCCTCATTAATAATGGGTTCAGCCGAGACTTGTGTATGGTCTGTGCATAACTGTTTAGCCTCAACTGTAAGGTGTTGACTTTCTAGAAATAATCTGGTATGAATATAAATGGAGTTGGATATATTGCTATCACTTACCAGTTGAGGACAAACATTTATAAACACATTTAGGCTATTAAAAGTGTATGATTAGATTATCATAAAAGGTGAAATTCCATTGTCTAGAAAAATAAATGTATGGAATGAATTAGTGATAATGAGTAATTGAGGTATAGAGGAATAAAGGGAAAAAATCATTGTGTGCAGTAATGAAAACTATATTGGAACATCTTGTATGCGAGATGAATGTTATCAGTCTAATCTTGTTTCTGAAAACTGCGTGTTTGGGGATGTAAACAATTAAGAAATGAAGTCCATCAGTTGAATGATGCCAGAATAATAAAAATGAGGAGACACTTGTATTATCATACAAGTAAAATGTGTAGAAATCAGACATGAATTTTATGGATAAAACTTGTTTATTTTAGTGTAATAGTGTGAGAAATCCAGTGATGGTTTTAGTGTTTTTGTTTTGAAGTCTTGATATCATTGTTTTAGAAGTGTTGCTAGCAAGCAAATTAAGTGCTGTGTGTTGCTGATATTCGGAAAGTGTGGGCAGTCAATCCATCAAAAAATATTTGACATGAAATTTCTACCCCAAGTTTGGCCAAGTTGCAAACTTGACACACTGGGTAACCAAAGAGCCAACAGCTGACAGAGCTGTTAGGCTTCTGGCCAATTGAAGTGGATGTCACTTATGTACATGTATCATCTCCATGAATTTGATTGTGTCCCAGCCTTACTTCTTGTGGTTGATATTGAATTTTTCAAGGAAAACAAAGTAACATTGGCACTAGCTCATCTTGAGAAGTGAGGTATGAAGTCATATCTGCTGTGTCAAGGAGAAATTCACTGGA